CCCGGCAATGCTCAGGGGTTGCTCCTGGCTCATGCACTCAGGAATCGCTCCTGGCGGTGCTCAGGGGACCATATGGGGTGCTGGGAATCGAACCTGTGTCAGTCATTCAGTCATGTTGGCTGTGTGCAAGGCAAACGCCCTACCCACTGTGCTATCACTCCAGCCCCACCATATTTCTTACTCTATAAATAATCTCAAGATTTCTTAACTGAGGGTAAAATTTTTTGGCGGAGTAATATGGGGTGACAAGGGCCAGAGCAAAAAATAGCACAGCAGGTAAGGAGCATTTGCTTTGCTTGTAGCTGACCAGCATTCAATCCCAGGCACCATGTATGGTCTTCAGAGCCCATCAGGAGTGATCTCTGAGCGCAGAAACAGGAGTAAATCCTAAGCACCACTGGGTGAGCCCGAGGAGGTGACAGTAATTAAAAGATGTAAGTGGAACTGTAACTAGAACAGCGGGTAGGGAGTTTGCCATGAACATGGCCAACCCAGATTCAATTGCTGGCATCCCGTACGGTCCCCAAGCACCACCAGGTATAATTCCTGAGTGCAGAGCCAGGCAATAATAACCCCTGAGCAATGCCAGATGTGACCCAAAAAGCAAAAAATATAAAACGTACAAGTCAAAATACAATCATAGTTCAAGAATATTTTTCAAATATCTTAAAAGTCAACGATAACTTTTTCTTAAAACTTGGATCTGGAGAAACAGTGTAGGGGTTAAGGTGCACGCCTCGTACATATCAAACCTGAGTTCAATACCTAGAACTACATCTAGTTTCTGGAGTACTCCCAAGAGAAATCTTTGAGTACCGCAGGATGACTCAATCCCTTCCAGACTATCTTTTCTCAAAATAAGAGTTGAGGTGCTTAATTTGTTGCTTTATTATATGCAAAATACAAAATTTACTTTGTATTTGACTTCTGCTCAGTAAAGTATATTACCTAATTAAAAGATTACTGGGCGCTAAAGCAATAATATAGCGGGGAGGGCACTTGCCTTGCATGTGGCTTCCTGATCCCCACCAGGAATGATACTGAGTACAGAGCCAGGAGTAAGCCCTGAGCACTGCCAGTATGACCCCCCTCCAAAAAAAGACTATTAACTGGCTTCTCTCTGAGCATTCTTTAATTATAGAGCTGGACCTTTCATGTTTAGTCCACTTAAAGTAGAAGGGAAAGAGGCCATCATTTTTCATCTGCAGGACAATCTTACAAGATGAGGAACTGAACCATTCTGAAAGGCTCTCACAGAAATGAGGCAAGTAGAATTGGAAAGACAGTACAGCAGGTAGGGCACCTGCCTTGTATGCAGCTGACCTGAGTTCAATCCCTGACACCCCAGATGGTCTCCTGAGCCCCACCGAGATTGATCTCTGAGTGCAGAGCCTTGAGCACCTCTGAGTATAGATTTAAAAAAAAAAAGTGGCTATTATAAGTTGATGACAACGTATTGGAGACTGAGATAGTGAAGTACTAAGAGAAAATGAACGATGGAGTGGGAGTGGTTTTGCCATTGCTAGGCAAGATCAAGGCCAACTCAAACTATTTTTGTTAGTAAAACAGATAAAACTGCCTGCCTTACTCATAGTGCAGGAAAATTAGAAGAATTGGCTGATTTAACAGTTCTGCAGAGAAGGACAGAAGTGCTCACATTTTTACCTTCACCTGGAGGTTTTGACGCACTAGTGAAATCTTTTTTTGTTTGTTTTGGGAGCACACCAAGCAACGCTCAAGGCTTAGTCCTGGTTCTACACTCAGGAATTACTCCTGGTGATGCTTGGGGGACCATATGGGGAACCAGGGATTACACCCGGGTTGGTCTCAATCAAAGCAAGCACCTTATCCACTATAATTTCTCTCCAGCCCTCTTAATACATCCAGAATATGAATATTTATTTGTGTATCTCCAAATTAAAATCATTCAGGAAAACTAAATGTTTTGGGAGGTCCATTTCTTGTCAATTGTTCTAAAATTAGAAGGTAGTAGTCATATCAGAAGAGGGCGCCATTACCCAATAAATAGAGGCTGGTACTGATAAAAACACTTCAAAGATTTCACAAGGGAGAAAGTCCTGTAGTAAATACGCACGGATTTGGAATTTGTTTTGTTTTGGGTTTTGTTCTGGTGCTCAGGGCTTACTCCTGGCTTTGTGCTGAGGCATTACACCTGGCAGTGCTCAGGGGACCTATGTGGTGCCAGAAATTGAACCCAGTCTGCTACATGCAAGACAAGAATCTTTCCCGCTCTCTCATGTGATAGTGCTGCATTTGTTGTATTTCTCTAACTTCAGTCACTGAAGGAAATGTTAGCAAGGAATCACCCAGGAATTAAGAAAAAAAAAAAGAAGAAGAGAAGGGTTACATTCTGTTGGGAATATTCTTTTTACAATTAGGAATTTTGAAATACTAAGGCAAATTTGAATGACCCTTTTACTTAGGATTCATATGTATTTGAGGTCCCAGTTAAGGGAATGGTATCTGATGTCAGAATGTCTTTAACAGGGGCTGGACAGATAGTATAGCAGGTAAGACATTTGTTTTAACAAAGGTCCAACCCAGTTTTGATCCCTGAGTGCAGAGCCAGGAGTACCCCCAGAGTACCATCCAGTGTGGGCCACCAAAAAATTTAAAACAAAGTCTTCAATAAGCCCATGCTTTGCTTAATTTTCTCAATTGTAGTATAGCTGAATTTTACTTTCTATAATCCCCACCTAAAAGTGCCTGACATTGGTCCAAAACAGGGTAACTAGTAAAACTTATCAGGTACTATTGACCTTTTATTATACCAACAATAAACTATCAGGAAAGTTTTTGTGAACATATATATTAAAATATGTACATAAATAGAAAAATAGTAGGTGCCTCCATTAATCACTTTCAAAAAATGGGTTTTTCCTCAAACAGCACTATACTCCTATATGTAGATATCATTACCATCTTCCTTTCACAGATGAGAAAATTAAATCAGAGAAGTTTGGTACCTTTCTTTTTCTTTTTCTTTTTCTTTTTCTTTTTGGGTCACACCCGGCAATGCTCAGGAGTTACTCCTGGCTCTGCACTAAGTTATTATTCCTGGCGGTGCTTGAGGGACCATATGGGATGCCGGGAATCGAACCTGGGTTGGCCACGTGCAAGGCAAATGCCCTACCCATTGTGCTATCGCTCCAGCCCCTGGTACCTTTCTTGATCACAAAACTACCAAAAATTGGAGCCAACATACACTGTTTAAGGTGCTTGCCTTGCACACAGCCAACTTGGGTTCAAACCCTGGTATCCCATATGGTCCCCCAAGCACCATCAGGAGTGATTCCTGAATGCAGAGCCAGGAATAGCCCCTAAACATTGCTGGGTATGGCCCCAAAGGAAAACAAAACAAAAGGCCTATCCACTATACTATCTCTCTATCCCTGTCAATGTTCTTATCACCATATCTAATCTTGGAATGCAGTGGTAAGTTTGCCCAAGTCACTGAAACTCTAACGGTCGGGACTGAGTGGTCCAACCACTGCAAAACAGCAGCAAATTGGATCTCTTCTCCAATACCCACAGGGTTGAGAGAGAGCTGTACACAGTACTGAGCTTCATTCTGGCCTTCACAGATAACCAGGATGAGGAGAGCTGTAGAGAGTGATTTCTCAGTTATTCAATAAATCAAGGGTCCAGAGTGGTATAGTGGTACAGTGGGTAGAGCTCTTACTTACCTTGTTTTGTATGCATTTCGATCCCTGGCACCTCCTATGGTTCCCTGAGCCCTGACAGGAGTGATTCCTGAATGCAGAGCCAGGAGTAAGTCTTGAGCACCACTGAGTGTGACCCCAAAACTAAAAAGAAAATTTCTAGACATCTAAGGCCTTAGAAACCTTTCTAGGGGGAAAAAAACTCCTCAACCCTATCAGCATTAGCTTCGACCCAACTTTAATTATTCCACATTCCTATTTAATTATTCCAAGAGAAATGACCATTTTACTACTTGATCTTTTTTTTTTTCCTGTTAGAAAAAAAATTCTAGTAAAGTTATTGAGGTCTTGTGGAGAGTGGAAATAGATCAATTATATCTGAATTAACAGTCATTTTCATCTTGTCTCTAGATTTCCAAACCACCCTTTCACTAAGGCCCTTCTGAGAGATTGGGCTTCCCTTCTATCCCCACTATCTGAAAACATCCTAACTTCTCACTGCCATACAATTCGTCAAAACCTCAAATAGGAGAGGAATCAGATGCCCGCTGCCACAGGTACTAGGGACATTGTCAGTCATATTGTAGAGTCATTTGTTCATATTCAAGCCGATTGCAGAGAGGATTGTTGACAGCAATGATTGGATGGAAGAAATCCTTATTACAGAGTACACAATACATCTACATAAATTCTTTCTGATAAAAGGCTTTAACTGCAAAGAAAATATCTATGCAACCCCAAAACATATTTTCTGAATTATTTTGTCACACCCAACAATGCTCAGGGGTTATTCCTGGCTCTGCACTCAGGAATTAATCCTGGCAGTGCATGGGTTAACTATATGAGATGCTGGGGATCAACCCTTGGTTGGCCAAATGCAACGCAAATGCAAATGCCCTACCCACTGTACAAAGACTGCAGCCCCAATTTTTCTGAATTTTTCTACCAAAATCTCCTGAGATCTACTTAACCATAAGAACACATTACTCCTAAAAAAAAAAGTAAGGTGGAGTTCATGCCCAATTCAATCAGCTAATCAGTGGCTGAATAAATGGCAGTACTCCTACATAAAAACAAAAACAAACAAAGAAAAAACATTACTCCTGAGGTAGAAAAACTTACTATGGGATAGACAGCATTCTTTGAATTTTGAAAAATTAGTAACTGAAAATTACATTTAATATTTTTTAATTTTAAAATTACATTGAATAGTGTCTTGATACTTCCATGTTTTATTGTAATCTATATATTTCCAATAAATTCATAGTAAAATAGGCTTTTAAAAAACTAAGATGTTAAAAAAACAAACTACAACAAAATAAGAGGCTAATAGTATATATGATTGACTTGAGATTATTATATAGTCAATGATCAGAAGTCTGTATCAATGCTGTACATTTTTACAAAAGTCATTTCCTGAAAGAAAAATGAAAACTAAACATTTATGACTGGAGTTAGTTGTAATAAGGAATTGGGGGTGAGCGTCTGGCTGGTCTTTGTGCCTTCAAACTTCTGTAGAAAATTCTGTCGTCTTTTCAGTCCATCCAAAATGACTGAATTATTAGATGCCAGACTCTGTGTCCTAAAAAGATTTAAAATGATAGCAATGATTACTTTCAAAGGGAAACTGTGTTCTTAATCAATGCATTATACATTGATCTGTTATTCTGAAGCAATATAAAGGCTTTACAAATCTTTTCTTTACATTTTAAAATATTCACAACAGCATATACCATTATTAAGCAGCTAATTTATACAATGTTAACATTTTCTAAAATTCTCAAACCCAATATCTAGTCAGAACAATAAATTCTCAGGGCCAGGTAGATAGTACAGCATGTAGGGCGTATGGTTTGCCCACGGCTGACCCAGGTGGATCCCCTGCATCCCAGATGGTCCCCTGAGCATCTCCAGGAGTGATTCCTAAGCACAGAGCCAGGAGTAAGCCCTGAGCACTGCCAAGTATGAGTCAAAAACAAATCAAAACAATCAAGATTTAGTAGTAGAGGAAAAATCAAATCTTGGTTCACATAAGAAATGAACTCTATCCAATTATATAAAAGATTTTATTGTAACTTGATATACTTATTCAATAAGAGATGGCAAAATTATATCATTTAAAAACTATTCGGGGACCTGGAGGGATAGCAAAACAGGCATTTGCCCTGCATGCTACCGACTCGACTTCTGTCCCTGGCACCCCAAAGGTCCCCTAAGCCCTGCCAGGAGTGATCCCTGAGCACTGAACCAGGAATAAGCCCTGAGCACAGCCAGGTTGACCCAAAACCAAAAAAATAAAAAGTTTTTCAGGGTCTTCCACTTGGTAACTCAACAGACCCTTGGTTTGCATTTTTATGTGAGATAGTGGTTAATCAAACACTTTTATATGTACTTACCGCGGAGAATCGATTCCACTATCTCCTGCCATACTATGGCTTTCTGTCCCCTCTAAGTGACTGTGTTCGCGTTGGATATTCTGAGCTAACACCGGCATATGTGAAGTACTGAAAAGTTCTGACTTTTGTGTTGGCTGTTTTTTCATATCCTGATTGTGAAGACTTGGACTCCAACTGGCCACATCACCCATGGTATCTTGAAGGGTTTCATCCTCAGAACTGGTTTTCCTTTTGCTGTAGCAATCAAATATATTTCCGTCAGCAGGCACTGCGGCCCGTGCAATTTTAGCAACACTAGGTTCTTCTTCACAGTTAAAACTGGATGAGGTCCCCAGAGTAAGGCCATGGCTTTCAGCAGAGTGAGAAGGCTTTTGGCTTTCAGCTGGGTTAGTGAGCCACTGGGTGGGTTTGTAATATCTGCTTCCATTAAATGTTTGAGGCCCCAAACTAGGTGTGTTGCTGTTGTACTCAGTCAGAGGTCTTTCAGTCATCTTTAGTTTTCCTAACTGGTTTTCTTTGCTTTCACCTGTGAAGGAATACTGCAGGTGGCCAGACGACATTGGACATAAGTCATCATCCTCAGAAAAGTCATCTTCCTCTAGATATAATGAACTGCATGCACCATCCTCCTCCTCTCCATTCTGGTAGAAGGTCTGGGCATCATCAGAAAGCCCTTCGTTCTCCAGACTTGCAGTCTCCGTGTCCTGAACAAACGTCTTCTTAATGAGTTCTCCTGAATCTCTGTATTGGGTCTCTGGGGGTTTCACATGGTTTGCACCAACTGAGTGATCCATAAGAGCAAGATTTTGAAACTGATACATTGTTTTGTCCACAAATCTACAAACAGAGGGTTTTCTCTCAAAAGTTGAGCCTGGAGGTGGCAGGTCATGCAGTGTTCCTTTCATCTCCCCGAGAGCGTCAAAGTGAGAATAACATTTCCCCAACCCTTCAAGGAGTGCCTTATTTTCTTCACCACAGGCATCATGTTTCAACAGGCACGTGCTACCGTTTTGCAAAGCACTGCGTTGAGGGTAGCTGAGGAGATTATCTTTGAGCTCATCAGTGGTAGGCTGGACAGTCGAATTATTCATATAAACGGTTTCTGTGTTCATCTTATCATTACATTGTTCAGCATATTGCTTTTTGATATCATCCGTAAGGACATTAGAGGAACCCAAGGACATTGACCTTCGGACAGACCTTCTCTTCGTTCCAAATTGACTGGGTTCCAAATCACCGGTCTTCTGCACATTGTGCCCTTTGGTTATTGGCCCACCTCTGTGGGACAAACCCGGGAAAGGGTTATTGATTTGCTTTTTATAAATCAAATGGGAGCCTAGTACTGGCATATTCTCACCACCTGATTTCTCTCCTGCTTGATTTCCGCTTTGAATCTGGGAAGTGGGGTGTGGAGCCAGGCGCCTGGGCTGTTTCTGCAGTCTAATTCTTTCAGGGTTAGGATCGCTTCCCTGGCCCCTGGACTTCTGTCTGTCCCTACGCAAATGGCCCTGCCTTCGAGGCTTTGCTGACCAGCCCTGCCTGTTCTTAACCACCTCCTTGTGTGAGTTTTTATGTCTGACTGCAGGCAAATCAGTCGAAGTGCCCTGACTATTATATTTTTTCTGCTCATATTTTTGCATGAGGGCAGTATGTTTGATCAAGTTGTCGACCGTCAGAATGGGATTAATACGTTTGATTATCTCATGTTCAATGTCCCGAGGGATGTTGTCCAAGTCATCTTCATCTCGAACAGGCCACTCTTCCGGCGGGAACTGGGCAGAGAAACTAGTGTGCTCAGTTCTGGACTTCTCCTTCCTAGATACACTGCGCCAGAGTAGCCCAAAGCCAAACTTCTTGCCTTTCTCTCTGTCTTTTGCGTAGGACACAGGCTTGGTGTTCTCACGAATATGATTCTCTTCTGACACGGAAACTGCTTGATTCCGTACCAAAGCTTTGGATTCCCCGATACATTTCTGGCCTTTTTCAATCACTTCGGCGGTAGCTGGTAACCGGTGTACATCCTGAGCACATTCACCTGGGAAGCACCGGCAAGACTGACAGTGGGAAAGGGGAGAAGTGTTGTCTTTGGCTGACTCTGCACAGCTTCCCATGCTCACAAGATAGGTAATGGCAGTTGGCGGTGGGTGACTGTCATCTGAGAGGCCCCTCTTATTTTCCTGAGTGTTTGCATTTGTGATGAAGTAAGTCTGGGGTGTAACTATGAAGTACCCTTCTCCAGTGTGATAAATCTTCCTTTCTTTAATCAGAGTTCCCAGAGTGGTATAGAGGATGTCTTGAGGTGGAACTGCAATGCCTAAAACAAACAAGTATTTTACACAGATTTTACAGAAGATACATAAGTTTTTAAACACAACAAACAAACCATAATTGGGCTGGAGTGATAGTACAGTGGATAAGGTTCTTGTCTTGCACCTGGTTAACCATGGTTCAATCCCCAGCAACACACATGGTCCCTCAGAGTGATCTCTGAGCGCCAGGAGAGATTACTGAGTGCTGTTGGGCATGGCCCCCAAACAAACACAAAATAAAAAAATATGTAACAACATAATTTAATGACAAATCAAACTCAGAAATGGCCACACATTTACCCCCCCAAAAAAATACAGAGCTAGCAAGTGAAAACAGAGACAAATGGGACTATCTTAAACTAAGAAGCTTCTGCACCTCAAAAGAAACAGTGACCAAAATACAAAGACAGTCTACAGAATGGGAAAAGGATATTTGCCCAATATGCATCTGACAAGGGGTTGATATCAAGGATATACAAAGCTCTGGTTGAGGGGCTGGAGTGATAGCACAGCGGGTAGGGCCTTTGCCTTGCACGCGGTCCTACTCAGGTTCGATTCCCAGCATCCCATATAGTGCCCCGAACATGGCCAGGAGTAATTCCTGAGTGTATGAGCCAGGAGTAACCCCTGTGCATCACCAGGTGTGACCCAAAAAGAAAAAAACAAAAACAGAAAACAACAAAGCACTGGTTGAACTCCACAAGAAGAAAACATCCAACCCCATCAAAAAATGGGGCGAGGAAATGAACAGAAACTTTCTCAAAGAAGAAATCCAAATGGCAAAAAGGCACATGAGAAAATGCTCTACATCACTAATCATCAGGGAGATACAGATCAAAACAACAATGAGATACCATCTCACACCACAGAGACTGGCTCACATCCAAAAGAACTAAAGCAAACATTTTGGCATGGATGTGGCGAAAAAGGGACCCTCCTTCACTGCTGGTGGGAATGCTGACTGGTTCAGCCCTTTTGGAAAACAGTATGGATGATTCTCAGAAAATTAGAAATTGAGCTCCCATTTGATCCAGCAATACCACTCCTGGGAATATATCCCAGAGAGGCAAAAAAGTACAGTCAAAATGACATCTGCACTTCTATGTTCATTGTTGCACTGTTCACAATAGCCAAAATTTGGAAAATACCTGAGTGCCCAAGAACAGATGACTGGTTAAAGAAACTTTGGTACATCTATACAATGGAATACCACGCAGCTGTTAGAAAAGATAAAGTAATGAAATTTACGTACAAGTGGTACTACATGGAAAGTATCATGCTAATTGAAACGAGTCAGAAAGAGAGGGACAGACATAGAAAGACTGCATTTATCTGGGGAACATAAAGTAACAAAATAGGAGACTAACATCCCAGAATAGTCGAGATAAATACCAGGAGGTTCACTCCATGTCTTGAAGGCCAGCCGCACATGCTGGCTGGAAAAGGCAGCTCAGATAGAGAAGGGAGCACCAAATAAAGGGTGTTGGGAGGATCCTCCCAGGATGGGAGATGCATGCTGAAAGTAGACTATAGACCGAACATGATTGCCACTCAATGCCTCTTTTGCAAACCTCAACAACAAAAGGAGAGAGAAAACAAAAGGGAATGCCCTGCCACAGAGGCGGGATGGAATGGGGGTTTGGGGGATGGGGGTGGGAGGGATACTGGTATCATTGGTGGTGGAGAATGGGCACTAGTGGAGGGATGGATACTCAATCATTGTATAACTGAAACCCAAGCACAAAAACTTGCAAGTCTAAAACTGTTCCTCATGGTATATCACTAATAAAAATTTTTTTAAAATTATGTGAAAAATAATACAGAGCTAACTAATACTAATAATATATATGCAATTGAAGTGTCAGAGAAGGGCTGGAGAGACAGTACAGAGGATAGGGCACTTGACTTGCATGCGGCTATCCCAGGGTTCAATCTCTTGACACCTCATATTATACCCTGAGCAGTCAGAACTGAACCCTCAGTACAGAACCAGCAGTGAATCCTGAGCACCGCTAGGTGTCCCCCCCCCAAAAAAGTCAAAGAAGCATTAACAATTATAATTTAGTTGAAGAATTGTGAATATAATTTAGTCCACAAAAAGCTGTAAAATTAAGGCTGGAGAACAGTACAGTGGGTAGGGCACTTGCCTGGCATGCGGCTAACCAGGAAAAACAAAAAACAAAGAGATTACATACTGCTTAAATCGAGAAAATCTGAATGCAAGTGCTCAATCAGACAGGCCCATTATGCGTTTACATTTTATTAAGGAGCACATTACATGGGAGTCTGTAACAACCGCGGTCTCACAGTCTTTTTTAAAAATTTAAAAAAAAAAATTTTTTTTTTTAAATTTTTAAAAAAAAAAATTTTTTTTAAGTCTTAAAACTTTTAAGTCTTAAAACTCTAGAGGCAGGAGAAGAGCAGCCAGTAAGTAGAAAGTAAGAAGGAAGTGAAGTGAAAGTCCTCGTTCCAACTGTAGAATCGATACAAATGGGCTCATTACACTGTTCTGTCAACTTGTGTATATGCTTGAAATTTTCTAGTATAAAAAGTGAAAATTTTTTTACAAAGTGGCTGGAGTGATAGTACAGTACACTTTGCTTACAAGCCGCCAAGCTGGTTCAATCCCCGGCACCCAATATGGTCCTCTAAGCTCTACCAGGAATGATCACTGAGTGGAAAGCTGGTAGCAAGCCCTGCCGGAGGGTAGGTAAGAGAGAGAAAGGACCAGTATGACAATAATAGCTGGAAATTGTCGTGCTGGACAAAAACTGAGTGTTAAAAGTAGGCAAAGAGATATATCTGATAACCTTTTAGTAACTGTATTGCAAACCCCAATACCCAAAAGGAGAGAGAGGGAGAGAGGGAGAGAGGAGAGAGAGAGAGCACCTGCCAGGCTGTATATGGGGGGTGGTGTGTGTATGGGGGGTGGTGATGGGGAGATGGGGGAAACTGGGGACACGGGGGTTGGGAAATGTACACCGATGGAGGGATTGGTTCTGGACCTCGGTATGACTGAAACCTAATTGTGAACAGCTTTGTAAGGGTCTATCTCACACTGATTCAATAAAAAAGAAAAATTTTTAAAAAAAGTAAGCCCTGAGGACAAGCAGGTGTGTGTGAAGAAAAGAAAGATCTTAAGACTCTAAGGAGGGGGGTGGATGGGTCCAGAGACTTAGTACAGTTGTGCATAGTACACTTGCCTTGTATATGGCTGACCCAGGGTAGATCCTCAGAACCCCAAATGATCTCTGAGCTCCCAGGAGTGAGCCCTGATTGAAGAGCTAGAAATAAGCCTTGAGCATCATGGGTTGTGGCCCCCAAACAAAAAAAGACAAAAGAGGGGCTGGAGCGATAGCACAGCGGGTAGGGCGTTTGCCTTGCACGCAGCCGACCTGGGTTCGATTCCCAGCATCCCATATAGTCCCCTGAGCACCGCCAGGAGTAACTCCTGAGTGCAGAGCCAGGAGTAACCCCTGTGCATCGCCAGGTGTGACCCAAAAAGCCAAAAAAAAAAAAAAGACAAAAGAAAATGAAAGGGGCCAGAAGTGTGGCTCAGTGGTATTGTATTCTAATACAACTTATAAAAATATACATAAACTGCAGACATTTTATCATCTCTGAAAAAGAGGAAAGGAATAATATGAGGTGGGGAGATGGTGATTTTTTTTTCTTTTTCTGCTTTGTACTCCTTTTTATAGAGTCACATTTGTTGCCACAAGTGCTATTTTTGAAAATACTCATCTGGAAAGTAAGAAAGATATCCTATCAAATATGTTGACATAGGCTTTTTCTTCTGACAGGGCTCTAAAATGAGATTTCAGGGGCCAGAGTGATAGTACAGTAGGTAGGGTAGTTGCCTTGCATGTGTTCAACCCAATTCAATTCTCAGCATCCCAGAGGGTCTCCCAAGCACCCTGCCAGGAGTAATTCCTGAGTGTAGAGCCAGGAGTAACTCCAGAGCATCATCAGATGTGGCCCAAAAACAAAACAAAAAAGAGATTTTTTCATTTAAAAATTCAGTATTATCCAGTTTATGTATGTATTTAATAATAGAAAACAGGGGTCCGAGTGATAGTACAGTAGGTAGGATGTTTCCCTTGCATGCGGCAGACCCAGCTCTGATCCCCAGTAGCCCATATGTCCCCCAAGCACCGCCAGAAGTGATTTCTGAGTGCGGAGCCAGGAGTAATCCCTGAGCATTGCCAGGTTTAACCCAAAAAGCAAAATAAAAAGAAAGAAAGAAGAGAGAGAGAGAGAGAGAGAGAGAGAGAGAGAGAAAAGAAAACAGGACTGGAGTTATAGTACAGTGGGGAAAACCTTGCCTTGCAAGTGGATGACATAGGTTTGATCCCCTGGATACTATAAGGTCCCCTGAGCCCACCAGGAATGATTCCTAAGTACAGAGCCAGGAATAACTCCTGAGTACCACCAGGGGTGACCCTAAAACCAATGAATAAATAAAAATAAAAACAGTGTTGTACAACATGTAGGGTGATGGCCTTGCAGTTGTGGTCAATCTGGGGCTCAAACCCTGGCATCCCACATGGTCCCTCAAGCACCGCCGAGAGTAATTACAGAGCACAGAGCCAGGAGCAACCCCTGAGCATCACTGAGTGTGGCCCAAGACCTAACTAACTAAATATGGGGCTGGAGGCATAGTACAGAGAGAAGGCTGCTTGTCTTGCACACAATTACCAGGGTTTGACATACAGTTTCCAGAGTTCTGCCAGGAGTGATCCCTGAGCAGAGCCAGGAGTGAAAATGAAACCAGGCGGCAAGAACTAAGTGCTGAAAGTAGATAAAGGAATATACATGATAATCTGTCAGTACCTGTTTTGCAAATCATGACATCCAGAGGGAAAGAAAGAGAAAAAAGAAAAGTGCCTGCTGGGGGGTGGTGGGGGATGGCGGTGCGGATGGGAAACTTGGGACATTGAGGGTGGGATACATACACGAGAGAGAAAAGCAAGCAAGCAAGCAGGGGCTTTAAAGATACAGCTCAATAGGCTAGGTCCATGCTCTGCATGTTCAATCCCCAGCCCTGCATGGTTTCCAGACTATCTTAAAGCACCAAGTTGGAGAGTAGCTCTGAGTACTACCAGGTGTGGCACTAAAATAAAAACAAAGGAATCCAAAGACATGCAATTAATCGGTAATTGAGAAAAATACATGACTTTACCTGGGTAGTTATTCTTCAAATGCTCCAATAGGGATTCCTGTGTTACCATGATCTGAGCTGAATTCAGATCAGATATAGCACCACAAAGAACTTCAGCCAAAGGTATAAACTGAGATTGAGCGATTGGATTCATTTGCACTGGGAAGACATCACCTAAATGGGAGATTGAAAAAAAAAAAGAAGGATGAAACAATATGGACAGTCCTTAATTGAGCTTCCATATGACCCCGCAATACCACTTCTGGGAATATATCCCGAGGATGCAAAAAAAGCACAGTAGAAATGACACCTGTACCTATATGTTCATTGCAGCCCTGTTCACAATAGCCAAAATCTGGAAACAACCCAAGTGCTCTAGAACAGGTGACTGGTTAAAGAAACTTTGGTACATCTACACAATGGAATACTATGCAGCTGTCAGGACAGATGAAGTCATGAAATTTGCTTATAAATGGATAGACATGGAGAGTATCATGCTAAGCTAAATGAGTCAGAAATAGAGGGACAGACAGAGAAGGACTGCACTTATTTGTGGAGTAGAAAACAACATAACATGAGGCTGACACCTAAGGATAGTAGATACATGGGACAGGTAGATTGCTCCATAGCTGGAAGCCTGCCTCATGAGCAAAGGGGAAAAGGCAGCTGGAACAGAGAAGGGATCACTAAGAAAATGATGGCCTGAGGAACCGGTCGGGATGGGAGATGTGTGCTTAAAGTAGATAATGGACCAAACATGATAAACTCTCAGTTGTCTGTCTTGCAAACCATAATGCCCCAAAGTAGAGAGAGATTTGGGGGAATATTGTCTGTCATGGAGGCAGAGGAAGGGTGGGAAAGTGGAGGGTATACCAGGGATATTGGTGGTGGGGAATGTGCACTGGTGGAGGGATGGGTGTTTGATCATTGTGTGACTGTAACCCAAACATGAAAGCTTGTAACTATCTCATGGTGATTCAATAAAATAATAATAATAAAAAAGGATGCTGGAATACTGTATGACTGAAACCTAATCATAAACAGCTTTGGAAGGGTCTCACAGTAATTCAATACAATGGAGTACTATGCAGCTGTTAGAAAAGAAAAAGTCAAGAAATTTACATACAAGTAGTACTACATGGAAAATACCATGTTAAGCAAAATGAGTCAGAAAGAGACGGATAGACATAGAAAGGTTGCATTCATCTGGGGAACATAAAGTAACAAAATAGGAGACTAACACCCAAGAACAGCCGAGATAAGTACCAGGAGGATTACTCCATGGCTTTGAGGACAGCCGCACACTCTAGGGGAAAAGGCAGCTCAGATAGAGAAGGGAGCACCAAATAAAGGGTGTTGGGAGGTTCCTCTCAGGATGGGAAATGCGTGATGAGAGTAGACTATAGACCAAACAAGATTGCCACTCGATATCTCTTTTGCAAACCACAGCACTCGAAAGGAGAGAGATAACAAAAGGGAATGCCCTGCCACTGAGGTAGGGTGGGATGGGGGGATGGTGGGTAGGAGGGATACTGGGACTGTTGGTGGTGGAGGATGGGCACTGGTGGAGGGATGGGTACTCGATCATTGTATAACTGAAACCCAAGCACAAAAATTTGTAAGTCTACAACTGTATCTCATGGTGTTTCACTAATAAAAATTTAAGAAAAAAATAAAAAGTAGTTCCTGCCAATAAAAAAGTAAAAAGAAAAGAAGAAAAAAAGAAAAAGGGGGAGAAAAGGAAAGGAAGAGGAGGAGGAGAGGCAGAGGAGGAGGATGTGGAGGAGAAGGTGGCAGTGGCTGAGGAAGAAGAGGAAGAGGAGGATGAGGAGGTGGAGGAGGAGGAAGAAGGACAAGAACAAGAACAAGAAAAGCAAGTAAATTTGATATAAATTTGAAAATAATTAATCAAGAATATATATTGGGGCTGGAGCAATAGTACAACAGGTAGGGTGTTTGCCTTGCACACAGCTGACCCAGATTTGACCCCCAGTATCCCATTTGGTCCCCTTTATTCCCCAGAAGTGGCTCCTGAGCACAGAGTCAGGAGTAAACATTGAGCACAGTCGGGTGTGACCCAACAAAACAAAACAAAGAATATAAAAGACTGAAAAGCTGTCGCAATTATTATTTCATTGGTCTTTACTAAATATGGAATTATGATATATACAGTAATAGAAACTATGAAAGAGAGTTTATGATTATGGTCCCTACTTTAGAGAAATGTGCAGTATTTGCTATTAGAACAAAAGAAAGCTTGCAACTAAAGGCACGAAATGCTATCAAAAGATAGGACAGACATGACATTTGAGGGGAGTCTCACCTTTCAAAGCATTTTTATAACAGCTGAGTAGCAATAAGATTATTTAAAATACATAAACATGTCTTTTATATATTTAAAATACATAAACATGCCTTTCTTTGAACACTCTTGAACTTACTCGCCGAGGCTTGGCGCATGCCTCAGGCAACCGCAAGTGAACGTCCAAGCTGGCAAAACAGTGCAGAGAAGCGATCAAGGATGACCTCAAAGACAGAAGAGCAGTAGTGCTGGTAGATGTGGCAGAAGCCGGGAAAAGCATTCACAAGGCCCACCTGTCCTTCACCAACTACAAGACCAAGACGACTACTCTCCGACATCCTGATGGATCTATCACATCTTCCAGAAGGGCAATGGGGAAGATTATTCATGACTTCTACTCAGATTTCTTCAATAGCCATGTCCACTTGCCCACATACCAAATTCCACAGGATGGATATGCCGTTCCCAATGTTCTCCCTTCCGAAATCCAACACGCCATCTCGTCAGTAAAGAAACGAACAGCACCCGGCCCAGACAAGGTCAGACCTGAACACCTGAAGAACCTGCCGTCAGTACTCATCAATACACTGGCTCAGCTCTTCACACGCTACCTGTCTGAATGCAAGGTTCCATCCCAATGGAAAACCAGCAGGACTGTACTACTAAACAAGAAGGGAGACATCCACGACATTGGCAACTATCGCCCGATCTGCCTATTGTCTGTCATCTACAAGCTGTTCACTCGAGTCATCCTGAATAGGGTTGGCAGAACACTAGATGAAGGACAACCATGTGAGCAAGCAGGGTTCCGCAAAGGATTCAGCACCATCGACCATATCCACACGATAACCAAGCTCAGTGAGGTTTCTCGGGAGTTCAAGATGCCGCTCTGCTTAACGTTCATTGATTTAAAGAAGGCCTTTGATTCTGTTGAGACGGAAGCGGTCATTGAAGCCCTAGCCAATCAGGGCATTCAAGCCCAATACATCAGGATCCTCCGTGAGCTGTATTGCGGATTCACTACCAGGATCTCACCATTCTACAAAGAAGTGATCGCTGATGTCAAGAGAGGGGTGCGGCAGGGTGATACCATTTCACCGAAACTCTTCAGTGCCACCCTCGAGAACATCATGCGACGACTGGAATGGGAAGAAATGGGAGTGAAGATAGATGGTCGGCAATTACACCACCTCCGCTTTGCTGATGACATTGTTTTAATAACACCAAACATCAGCCAAGCGGCACAAATGCTGGCCGACTTTGACCGTGAGTGTGGAAAGGTCGGACTACAGCTGAATCTTACGAAGACAATGTTTATGAGAAACAGCCTCGTTCCTGATGCCCCATTCGCTCTCAACGGAACGACCATCTCCGAATGCAACAGCTATGTGTACCTAGGTCGAGAAGTCAACATGACAAATGACCTGGCACCCGAGCTGCGCAGGAGGAAGAGAGCGGCTTGGAACGCCTTCAAGAACATCAAAGAAATAGCTAAGAGGACGAAGAACCTCCGGCTCCAGGCACATCTCTTCAATTCCACTGTTCTTCCTGCATTAACATATGCCTCAGTGACTTGGGCCCTACAAAAACAGGATGAGAATGCTATTCGGGTCTCTCAAAGAGGAATTGAAAGAGCTATGCTTGGAGTATCACGCTTCACTCAAATGAGAGATAGAATCTGGAGTTCTGATCTCCGTCAACACTCAAAAATCACGGACGCTGTCTGATTTGCCAAGGCATCAAAAATTAGATGGGCTGGACATGTAATGAGGTTTAGAAATGACAACTGGACTAGAGCCATTACTGACTGGATTCCACAGGACGTCAAAATATCGCGTGAGGAGCTGGAGCGATAGCACAGCAGGTAGGGCGTTTGCCTTGCACACGGCCGACCCGGGTTCGATTCCCAGCATCCCATATGGTCCCCTGAGTACCGCCAGGAGTGACTCTTGAGTGCAGAGCCAGGAGTAACCCCTGTGCATCGCCAGGTGTGACCCAAAAAGCAAAACAAACAAACAAACAAACAAACCAACAAAAGATCGCGTGGCCACCCACCTACGAGATGGTCAGACTTTTTCGTGAAAATCCTGAATGATCGGTTTGAGGCTCTTCATGTTCCTAGAACAAGCAGATGCCATTGGGCTACGCTAGCATGCAACAGGGATGAATGGAGACGTTACTGGCGCCCGCTCGAGCCAATTGATGAGTTACGGGGTATCAAGTGATCAAACATGTCAGAGTTATAGTACAATGGGCAGGATACCTGCCTTGCATGTGATAGGCCTAGGTTAATTCCTCTGGTATCCCATATGGTCTCCCCCATCTCCACCCTGGGCACGGAGCCAGGAGCAAGCCCTGAGTACAGCTGCGTATGGCCCCAAAAATAAAATATGAAGAAAGTCTTTAGATTTCTTGATTGGAAGATCTTTCATGACTTTCAAGAGAACATTTGCAGTAGAAAAGAACACACATGTCACATAGGAGGTAAGGACACTGGTGAGAAAAAAAAAGGCTCATGTTTGGACCAGAGTTATAGTACAGAGAGTAGAGCGCTTGCATTGCATGTACCTGATCTGGCTTTGATCCTCAGCACCACACTGGTCCCCCGAGCCCACCAGGAGTGAGCCCTGAAAACAGAGCCAGGAGTCAGTCCCAAGCACCATGGTGCTCATAAAAAGGGGGAGGGGCTTGGCCTCTTTTGTGGGGAGGGTGTTCCGAGCAGTGACCCAACGTGGCTATACCTGGTGGTGATAGAAAAGTTCATGCAGTGCCAGGGATTAAATCTGGGGTCTACAGATGCCAGACAAACTCCAGCCCTAGAGCTATCTTCTTGGCCTAGAAAAAGGCATTAGGGAGTTTTTAGCGGAAAAGC